TGAAATAATGAGAAGCCCGTTTCTTGCACGAGAGCAATAATCATCTAACAAAGCACTTGATGATCTCCTCAGCAGTTCCATTTTAGAATCTAGCATGTGGATCTTCTAGACTTGACCTGACATGAAAGTGTACCCGAATATATACATTTGTTAATTGAACAGTGCATCTAATAAAGATAGAGGTTTTTCAGCGATGGTCTACAAAATAAAAGTTTATTTCGAACCCGACCCAATAGAGTTTTACTTTTTTATTTTTACTTTAACCAAAATCGTACTAGTTACCCATTTTGACATTTTTCAAATCCGACACGTTTGGAGTTTTCATAAGTATAGAGGTTGACAAGTAAATTAATATATGTTTTTTTATATATAATTTGCTGAAATTTACACAATATTCTTAATTTTCGTGGGAAGGCGGGAAGGTTTTTTTTCTCTCTCTCTTTTTTGGGGTTTTAGTTTCGCTGAAACCAAGGGACCTCACAAATGTGAAAGACATGACAAAGGTGGAGATGAGTCCAAGTCCACTAGACAAAACTAGTTGCAGCAACACTTAGTGGTTGAGAGTATACGAGGGCGTGGTTCCATAGAAGACTTCAATGGCAAACCCCACTTCCAGTTGGTAAAAAAAAAGGGATCGCCTCTTGATCACGTTTGAATACTAAACCTCAGTCCAATTCATTAGGCAATAACGCGCTTCATCATTTAGACATTGACCCGGCAAAGACGTGGCCTGCGATTTCTAAAAATTTTGTGGAACAATCATGCAGCAATCAGTGGGTCGGTCTCCTCCACATCCTTCCCTCAACTTCACTGGATTCGCAACCACAAAACAATCATTAATCTAATCTCCTCGAATGCATCCCGTGGGATAATAACTGAATCTGAGGAGGGTACTTAAGGATTCAGAAAAGTAACCAATCTATTATAATTTGCTGATGCGAGCATTGAAGTGGAAGCTTTCCGGGAAATGGCGAGTAGAGGAAGTCGCTTTCTGGATATCAAGAGATAAGCGTGTGACACATCCTCCCATGTTGTTACAAATGCTAATTGTGGATTTAGTGCCCCACTAAGACATCAATATTCACAGTGGACCGGTGGGGTCGAATGAGAACTATGCTGTGTTACGTATTGAGTGATAATTGTCTTTAGAATTTTCATTTTCAATTGGATCTCCCAACTTTCTCTGTGTTCTTCTTTTCCATATTTATGGGGCTGAAATTATGTGATTGAATAGGTCCTCCTCAACCTATTTTGGTTCGAGAACTCCTTTTCCTTCCCCTTCTTCAATCTCCAACCTGAGATTTTCATAAAGAAACCTCTAGTCGACAATAGATTACGACCCATTGTGCGCCACATCTATGAGATTCCTTGATTTGCGCTGAAGAATCACTCGATCATTGTCAAACTGATTGTAGTCCTTTTCTCTTCACGAGGGTCCCGCCAAAGCATCTTTTACTTCTAATAGGCCATGAACTATATTAGAATCATTCAATGAGTCCATAACAGAAGTCCTGTAATCATTTTTTGTGGGGTTTGGATAGAGGCCAAAAGTCATGAGCAATCGATACGGCTGAACAAATAGTGGTTATTTATTTCTCTGGTTTCATATTTGGGAGAAGTTGTAAATGTAGAATATCCAATTTATGTTTCTTTCCTTAACAATGAAAGGAGTTGGCACGATGCTTTAGTCTTTTCGAGGAATTATTGGTGCTCCTATTCGTAAGTTGTGAAAAATTGCATCTCATGTTGCATGGTTTGGCTGTGGTGAGGTTGACTTGACCTGTCGTCTCTCGAAGGCGGCCAATACAACCTTTTCCTCCTCCATCTTCTTATTTCTGTGTGTGTTGGCTTGCATACTCTTTCCATCTTTTTCAGATGAAGCTGGCTTGCACTTCTAGAGCAGAAACAAAAAGAAAGCAAAAAAGATGAAGATGTTTTTGGGTTTTACAGCTGAGGTGAGGTGAGATGGGGTCCAAGGTGTGATAGGCGTGGAATGTACTTCAGAGTTTTTAAAGTCGACCGCATCGAGCGCATCGAAAACAAATGACTAAAAATGAAGCTTTGATTGAAGTCGTTGATGGCGGCGATATCGACACCATGTCAGCTATCTGTTCCCATCCAACATTCCTATCTTATTACGTCATATGTTTCTGCTGCATCACAAACATCTTTAAAAAAAATGAGTTATGCATGTACAGGAATTGGGTATAGAGAAAAACAGAAGGAAAAGCAAAGGGACGTGGAAGAGAAGGAAAAGCATCTCTCACTCTCCTCATATGCTTCTCAGTTTAATGCACCCTTCCAATTATCGAAACCACAAACAATCCAGCTTTATGCTAATCACGCACCACCAATATCACTACTTCTTTTCAACACATGATATGTGATCAAAACTAAAGTCTTCCTTTCGAGCATTTGAATGGGGCATTTGAATGGGGTGCACTTGCTGTTATTGAGTTTAATGTCTCGAAACGAATCATTGTGTACACCCACTTTTCAATAAGGTTGCGTACTCGCTCTTCTCTGGCCTCGCCGAGGATCCACTTCTTTTTACCGCTCATAAAGGTTCGATTTTGTTCTTTGTCAAAACACTCGGTGAGCCGAGGCTCGTGCTCAAAGCTTACCAAAACGTTCATGCAACCAAACGAACGCAAGGCAAGAGAAAGGGTATCAAAATTCCTTTAGCGTTCGGATGCATATCGAAAGCAACGCTTATATTCTGAATACACTCAAACTATTCCTCTGTCTTGTTCGCGTTCGAAAGAAAGTAAGTCGCAGCATTTGCAGTATCCCCTTCCGGTATCTCCGCTCACTCCCTTTCCCTTTCCCTCGACCCAAACAAGCGTGAGCGAGAAGCAACCCGGGCTTCATGGTGGCGAGTCTCACATCGCATTTAAGGACGATAACCGTTCGTTCAACTTATTATCTGTGGAACAAGCATGAGTTGGACAAAAATACAGTCAAGATTCCCGATTCCCTTGGTTCCAAATTTCAACGAGATTCTCACCTACTTGGACCCATGAATTTCGATTCGAGTGAAACCAACTTCGATTTCATTATCTGGTCGTTTGCTTTCCCCTCCCGGGTCTCTTTCACAAGTCTCCGTTATGCTTTTTCGAAATCGGAGGGGTCCGCCCGCTTCCATTTTCTTTGGCAAATCCTATCGACATCCGTCCGGCCGATCCCTGATTGATATGCAGCACTAAGCCTCGCGTCCAAAGCATAAGTTTAATTAGACTCGCCCCGAACTTGATATCCACTCAGGAATTGATAAACTAATGTTAATTATTACTTAACAACAACAGCTTCAATTCAATTTCTCCACGTGGACTGAAAGAACATACGATGATTCAAAGATGTTGTTATATGCGAGATCCCTTCATGCTCTGGTAAAGTTTTCAATCCGACAAGGATCATCACTTGTTGGGAGAGACTTCATCGCACCGAGTCGTCGCGACTAGCAATTTATTCCATATTTAAAAGGGTAAGTATTCATTTACCAGATTATGGCCATTAGTGCTTTATCGAAAATTAGTGCTTTCTTCATGTGAAAGCAACTTTTCATAGATTATTTAGCTTTGACACGTTAGCGAAACACGGTCAAGAGCAACTTTGCAAACGCAAAAACAAATTTTAGTATAGCAATTTTTACAAAAAAAAAATTAACCTTATCAATTAGAAAATTTGTATATGTAAACCAAGTATATACCTACAGCTACTCCTCCACGCATTCAATAACTTATTTTACCAAAAATGAGATGAGTATGTGGCAATTAGCTAAGCGACTGTCCCGCTGTAGCGAGCAACTGGATGATCACTAAAACTTTGCATTATAAAGGAAAGAACTTTTCAACCTGTCAAAAATAAGTGATTATCTTTTCATGTGGTTATTAACTTGTCATAGAGAAATATTAAGCTCAGATGAATCAGTGGTTAAAATAAGCGACTCTTTTGATGCAATAGATTTTCAAATTGAAACAATAAGTATTTACTCATCAAGAATGAATGATCTTTTAATAGAAAGGGACTTCCTATTTTCTTTTATCAAAGCTAAGTTTCAACATGTTAGTGCTAGTAATTTTCTTCATAAAAGTTACTGATCGGTGTACAAAGTTACTTGAAATCAACTTAGGTTATGTTTATTTTGGGAAAATGTTTTATTTTTGAAAAATGTTTATTAGGAAATTATTTTCCAGAAAAATGACAATATTTTTAATGTTTGGCTGAAATCTGAAAAAGAACTAGAAAATATTTTCCGTCATTTGAATTGATTTTCTTATATACAGATATACTATTCGAACCCTAGTATGCACAAGTGCAGCTAGGTAACCAAACATAGGCATTGGGGTCCTGGGCCTCGCCCTTGATAGACCCGGGCTGAGGTGTCGGATTCGGGCAAGGGCAACGGGGTCATGGCTTCGGCTTTGATGGACCAAGGCCCAACCTCTATGGACCTAGGCACAAGCATCGAGGTCCCAAGACCAGGCTCGGTCTCGGGGGATTTGGGCACAAGCACTGGGGATCTAAGCCCGAGTGCAGGAACCCTGAGTATAGCCTTTGTGGACTCATGCCTGAGTGTCAGAGATCCAAGCACAAATATCAAGATCCTGAACTGTCTAGACTCAAGCCCATGTGCAGGGAAATTAGGCACTAACTCTAAGTCACGGCCCAACCTCGATGGACACAAGCCCCGATTCCGGGGATCCAAGCACAGGGACCAGGGTCCCAAGCCCCTTCTCAATAGACCTGTTTGCGAGCGCCAGGGACCTGGGCGCAGGCGCCAATGTCCTAAGCCCAACTTTGATGGATTTGAGCCCAAGCGGCAAGGACCTTAAAAAAAGAGTTAAGATTCCCATTTTCAAGTGCAGAGTTTTTATCTAAGTATCGATAACCAATCATATTTTAAAATCATTTTTCTGAATTTAGACATAGATTTTCCATTGACTCATTTAAGCATTTTCAAATGCTGGAAAATGAGAAAAATACTTTCTTGAAAAATATTTTCCGCGAAACAATCAAAACCTTAGTCATAATCAGTTGCCTGTTTCAGTCTTTTAATCTTGATCCAATGGCACGTCACGATCCATTGAAATCTAATGGTCCAACGCTACCAACGAATGGACTTTACATATCCGAGGCCTCGACAGGGAGTCTTCCCTGTGTACCAGAGTTCCATGGAAGAGGCACTAAATTATCCAAGACTGAGGAAAACCCAACTCACTATTTTTTTTTCTTTTTGATTTCACTGTCTTCATATGTATGTACAACACACCGGCTTTCTATGTTTCAACGACTTTCACGGGTATTTCAATGATGAGAAGGGGCGGGGGGGAGAAGCATCCTGTCGACATATATAAATTTGGCGGCGAATTCCTCGTCATTTTTGCTCAACATATCTTTCAAGCTACACTCGACTTTCGTACCCTTTAACACCCAATATCTAGGCTTTATCTTCTTCTCCAGTGAATAGCTGAAGTACCTCGGGTAGTCCACAATCTCCTTCAGAGGCTTCTCCATTGTCTTCACTAGAAATTCCAGCTTTGGTATGAACACCTCCTCAATGCTGTAACCCAACAATGGCGAGAACCTCCGCACCATGAAGGCAATCTCTCGCTTTGTAAGCCCTATCTCCATCAGATAGTTTATCCTGTCCGCAATACACCAACACAATATTAAACTAGCCCAAACATGCTACATAAACCATCTTTTCAGACAGAAAACTCGAGCAAGGAAAGTTGCTCATATCACTTGGCTCCCCTCCTTGTTCTAGAATCATGAGCCTTACTTTAACCAAAAGACATCCTTAATGCAGTTGAAGAATTCATTTTTCCAGTTTCATCTTGAGGTGGCTCTTCTCGACTCTACCTCTGCCATACTAAGTCATCCTAGTTGTATCTTTTTCATTTTTCCTCCTTTCCCAGTTTGTAGCCTCACATTTCAAGCCAAACAGATAATTAATCACCTCGCAAGTATTTCCTTTATATTTCAGTAGTTCAGTTCGGTATGCTTCTCTAGGTTTATAAGCATATTACTGACAGCATAACGCGTTTGCTATTTAATTTGTTTACACACCAAATACGGCGCCCACAAAATCTAAAGGGAATTCTGATTCTCATTGCCAAGTCCCTTTTTTTACCACATAACATTACTTGTGCAGCAGTCAACTCTCTCATTTACAAAAAAGCTTATACAGAACTTACTCAAACATCCTACTCAATAACTTGACACCACTATTGTTAGACGATAGTCTAAACAATAAAAAGTGATTATAAACAGCTGACTCAGACATTTAAGATCCTGTTGTGCAATTTTATCCACTCTCCTTATTTCGGAACAGAAAATATGCCTTTAGCTTAGAGTTTGTCTCGAACAGCAAAAGGATGCTCAAGAAAAGAGAGCAATTCAATCAAAAAAATTTCGGGGGAAAAAAATCCTTACCGAGGGATCAAAGTGCGGTCGACATCAGACACAAGAACCTCCGGATATTTCTTTATAACCCTTGGAAGGTGATGATTGGAAATGCCCATGTTTTTAAGGAATTCAAGCTTTTTGTTTAGAGTTTTCTCTATACTAGCAGCAAAAATTTCAGGACAGCGAAGAACAATCTTCCCCACCGTCTCCCTATCAAATCCAAAATTTTCGAGTAAAGAAACCACCTGCAGAAAGCATTGCTTTTATAAATTAGCATCACTTACTGATTTGCAGCAATTGAAGAATCCAGCAATTAATTGGATAACAGAGTGATAATTAAATCTTATATTTCAAGATAACCAAGCACGCTAACTTTTGATGGACAACATCCAAAGGCCCAGGAGAAAAAAAGGGTCTCCAGTGACTGGACTTTGCAATAAGCCTTGAGGGACTGAAGTAGATAGAGGCAACGTCGGTAAAAAAATCATAGAGCAAAGCCTTTCTTGCTTTACTTTGCAGCGAAAGGACAAGGGAAGGAGGTGATGAGAGAGGAAGCTGATAATTGCAGCTAAGATAATGTCAATAAGATCGACAGGTAGATGATTGTCCCATATCCGCCTATAGGACATTTTAGCAAGCCATAGTGAGGTGCCCCAGTGGCACCTGATTACAGAGTCATGCATTGTGATTAGGTAGCAGGTAAGTGGCAAAGGAACTTTGAAAACACAGCATTTATACTTAGAAGACGCAACAAAATCAAGAAAGCATCTAACGTGGTACATGTCAGGCTACTATCACATCCAAGGATGATAAAGAACCAAGCATATACCCAATAAAAGAAAGAGTTCACCAGCTACCTGGAAAAATTCTTCAGGCTTCCGTAGTAGTAGCTGAGGACTTTTAGCAATGACCTTACCCATTTTCTTATTTCGAACAGATAGTTCACCCAATGATTCCACCGTCAACTTTAGCTTGCTAGTTGAACACCCCATAATATGAGGCAAGCATCTAATTGCGCGGTGACTGCTTGGTTCTGGTACCTGTAATAAAACAGCAACATGATTTCATATTTGAAGCACCCGGGTACATATTAAAATTTACAAAACTCTCAAACAAATACCCCAGCCCATTCTAAAGATCAAAAGGCAAACTGAGAATAACAGGCTATCACTCTCTTCTTTTGTTTTCTTTCCCTTTTTTTTCTTTAAAAGTCGTTCTGCCTGAACATCGGTTTGATTTGATCGATGCTTCTTAACACATAGTAACGAACAAATTACTAAATTATTCTACCAAATCCATCAGCATCAAACAAAATTTGCATTTAAATTCACCTAAAAATGTTGCTTGATCGTAACCCATTTCTAATGAGGATATATAGCCTGGCCAGGGACCAAAAACACGAGTATTCCGGTAATATACCTTTTCCATCTGAAAGAATGAAAGGATCTCTTCATAGTTCACCTGGATGCTCGTGGAAAGCATCCATGGATATTTCAGAAGCATTCTCCCAACATCATGACTATCTGCAAGAATCTGCAAGAAAAACATGAAAGAAAAAATTGAGTTACAGACATAAAGAACCTATGCTTGCTTCTTTAACATGACATTGGCTGCTAGTCCAAATAAATCAATTTAACAATAGTAATCGGAATACCTTCTGAAACACCAGAACCTTCTTGCTTATGTCATTAACCTTGTAGAAGATGATCGGTGGGAAGAGAAGAAAGATATTCCGTACTCGTCCATGAGGAATGCCAATACTTTCAAAAAATTGTACCAGAGGCTTTACATGGGATTCTATCGGCAATGAAAGAAGACGCGGAAATGATTCAACCAGATATAGAAAAGAGGCATCTTTGTAGCCCAACATATCTAGACCCCCACGTCTTGCTTCAATCTGTAAAGTATAATTATCCATGAAAGGTGCCCCTAGATAAATGAACCGCCACTAGTCAAAAGACATTTATCACACCTTTCAATTAAAGCAAGATAGTCACCATACCTTTTCAAAGAAAGATAAGGTTAGCTGCACATCTTCATCCACAGGAATCGATAAGTGCATCATCATTCGACGAGCATTTTTCCCGAGCAAACCTTCTACATCACTGCTAGAAAATAAGATTTCCTTCAACACTTTAACCTATAAGCCAGAAACAAATTAAGCCATGACACCGCAGTGACATGAAAAAATATATGAGAGAAGTATGCAAAGACAATCAATATATTCTCCAGAGTGTTCCCCAGAAAACCAACTCCTAGAGCAAAACAGAGTTGTCTCTAAACAAACTTACACATAATTTTCCAGGAAAATGTCATATTCATAAGTAAACTATCAAGTCATTACCAGGGCAGCAATACGCAAAAGGATAGAGACAAGGACAATTAAACAGGGCAGTACTTCTTCTTCTGTTTTTTTCTGTGTCAGTGAGTACTATGTGGAGACTGATGAACCAATCCTTTCTAAACACGATGCTTCAAGCTATTGTCAAGAGAATGTCCCGCAGCTTAATTCAAGAACATATGCCTGATGGGGAGGGCGAGTAGCGTCAAGCTTCGAAGCACAATGGTTAGAGGACTAGTGTTGCGGAGAATACTGATTGTAACTTCCTATTTATGAAAGCACAGAAGTGTATAGAGCAAGCCAAGTTATTGGAATCCCAGCTTGCTCTCAGTGAGCCAGAGAGACAATTTGGAATGACACGGCTCAATTCAGACATAAAAGCGCCATTCCAAAAGAAACTGCTCAAGGATGAGCTGATATATAATGAGCGAAAGAGAAGGAAGGAATAATTCGACCAGCTGACCTTGCGAAGGAGAGTGGGGAGAGAGTCGGAGGAGACGGAACGAGCGACGAAGAGGGCAGAGGAGAGAGGGAGGCCGATGCTCTCGAGGAAAGCGACCTTGCCTCGGTCTCCTCTCTGCTTGGCCAAAAACGCCACCTTCTCCCGAAAACCGGCGGCGGTGGAGGCGGAGACGAGGGGCGCAGACTTCCAGGAAGAATCCCAGAGGGAGAGCTCGTCCAGCTCCCGGACCCCGTCGATCAACGAGCGGATGTAGTCGGGGGCATTGGAGGCGACCCTCGAGGCATCGTCCGAGGAGAGACCGAATTCGAGGTGAAGGAGGCGAGACACGGCGTCGCGCGCGGAGGAAGCGGAGTCGTCTTCTTCACCTTCATCTTCATCTTCTTCATCTTCTTCATCTTCAGGGGAGGGCACATCGGCGGGGCTCGAGAGCAGGGGAGGGTGCTTGGGACGACGGTTCTGGGTACCGAGGGGAGAGCGGGGGAGGAGGCAATGGAAGCCTCGGGTGCTGAAGTGGGCGGGGGCTGAGGAGAGCGGGATAGCGGCGGCGGCGGCGGCGTCCGATACTGGAGGAGGAGGAGGTTGGAGTCTCCAAAGTGGAGGTGGGAAGGAAGAGAGCTTGAGGGACATGGACATGGAGATGGAGATGGACATGTTCGATACTGACCGCTCCTGCATCGCCCCCCACTCCTCCTTAAACCCTAAACCACGAGCGACGCAATCCTGAGTTCGAGAATTGAGATAAACCGTCGACAGTTGGGGAGCATTGTCAAGTTTTTACTCTCTGAAATTCTCTAAGTGCAATTTCACCTAAAGTCCAATTATTTCAAATTTTTCTTGAATTTATCGTAACCCTCTGGCTTGCTGCGCATCGATTTGACAAGAAAATGGAAATAAAGACAACCAAAATGAAATTTTTTTTGAAAAATTGCAAAGGGACACGTAAATATTTTTAAGAATATCTAAAAGGGTTTACTGCTGCGTATGAGGATTGCCCGTCTTCATATTCTTGTTTATGATCCGATTATCCTCTCAAGTCTCAGTCTCTCTCTCTTTCCTGTTCATTGTCGATATGCTTTAAGATTCAAATCCACCTACCAATGTTAATGTTGGTTTTGCATGAATTAATGAATTGGAAATGAATCACAATTCCAACGGCCAGTCCCTTGTCCCATGTTTGGATCCATATGTGAATCATAGAATACTTGTTGGAATTGGCATTCCGCTACTTAGGCCATTCCTAAGTAGGTTACAGCCGTTTGTGCTGCCGAAATTTAATTATACAGCAAGATTGGCATTAGGTGCAACAGCCCGAATTTCGACGTAATTCCGGGATCAATAAAATTGATAATATTTCGCATTTCATTTTAGTAAGTCTCGCCCAGAGCTGATCACTCTCGGGATACTAACCAATGGGGTATGGCTAACTAGGAAACGGTACGTGGACCAGGGACTCAACAGTGAACGGGACACCGATCTCGAGATATGATGAGTGAATATTTTGGGCCAACGTGGGCCGATCTTAGGAAAGGTGATGGATTTGGTTTGGCCAAGGCTAACGATGTACAATCGGATCGCAGGTGATTCTGCAAGACCGAAAGTGCACGTGGCCAACCAGTCCTCAACCTGAACCGAACGATCGTGACCTTTGGAACTAATGATAATTTCTCATTCTCTCAATGATCGGGACCGTCTTAATTCGAATAACCCTAGGTCGATACGCGTATGTCCTAAACAGCCACCCGTTAGCCAGAGACCCTGAAATTGAAACTCGAGCGAATTTTGATCACGAAATTGGGCCCGGATTTCGATGTTGATTTTCGAAGGCTTAAGAGACTATTTTTGGGAATCTGACGTCATATTACTCTGGCCACACACGTTTGGAGTTAGTACGAGTAAAAATTAGAATTTCGGTCCGGGGGTGAAAAATTACGATTTTGCCCCTCGGGACGCCAGCGTTGCTTTTCGAGGCCAAATGAGGTTATTTTTCGAGGCCGGCGCCATTTTTGGGTGGCCACGCATACCCGGAGTCGTTATGGCCAAAAATTGGAATTTCGACAAAAATTGGAAAAATAATATTATTTTATTCCCGAAACTTCGACGTGGATTTTCGAGGGCTTGCGCGACGAATTTCGCGATTCCGACACCACATTATGTTGGCCACGCTCATGGAGGGTTGGTACGTGCGAAAATTGGAATTTCGCCCTGGGACCGGAAAAATGACGGTTTTGCCCCTGGGCTATTTTCGGGTCCGAATTTTTGGAAAAATTTTGGGGTAATTAAATATGGATTATCAGCTGCATTATTGGACCTAAAGACCATATTGCCCATCAATTATTTAGCTAGAACGAACGTCGGCCGTTGGATTAGGGGTATTTTGGTCAAAACCGTCGGATTTGCGACACGTGTCGCCCCTAGGCTGCCATGTTTGACCAGATAAGACTCTCTCTTTCTCCTCTCAACCTCACTCACGGCCAGAACACCCCCAGCAGCCGCCACCGGCTCTTTCTCCTCCATTTTCTCTCTTTTTCCTCTCTTGTTTGGCTCGCCGGAGCTCGTTGCCGGCCACCGGAGCACCGCCGCCGACCACCGTGCCCCGCTGTGGACCACCTCAGCGCCCTTAGCCTCAGCCTTGCCCTAGCCAACCCTTTCTCTCTCCCTTTCTCTCTCTTTCTCCCTCTTTTTCTCTTTCCCGTCCGGCAAAAAGGGCCGCCGGAGCTTCGCCGGAGCTCGGATCGCTGTTCCGTCACCACCCAGCCGTCCAGCCTCGCCGCACGACACGGCCGTACCTGTCTGTACAGTGTCCCCGTACGGAAGTACTGTTCATCGCGTCCATACGGTCACTGTTCATGCCGTCCGTACGCGTCGCCGGGAATTCCGCGCGCCGGTTTTACTATTCACCAGTGATCAGCCGCCGTTCCCCGTCGTCGTGACCTTAGATTAGGTGAGTAAAATTCCTAAACCCGGATTAGGACTGATAGTGCGATTTTCTGGACTGGCTTAGGTATTATCGGTGTATGTTGGACAGGCTTGGATAGTATCATTGTGTAATTCGAACTGTATTGAGGATGGTTTGGTGGAAATAAAATCCGAGGAAATTAATGGGATTATTACGGATAATTGTTGGGCCCGGATTGAGAAAATAGCGGCTGTCCATATTTTTGAGGAATGTACCGGATTATAATGGACAGCAAGAATTATTAGCTGAATGGCCGGAATTACCTAGAATAATTTGATGTTGATTGATTGGCGAACAATTGTGTTTAATTGTGAAATGCCATATTGCGTGCTTGCGTGGCTGAATCGTGCGGAGTGTGATTGGCCAATTGATGGCTTGAATTGTGTATTTGGAATTGGGCCGCACGGTATCAATAGGCAAAGCAAGCACGTGGCTTGTGAATTAGGCACTGTGGAATGACTCTGATTGAACTGTGTGCATGTGCCTATGTTATGTGGATGCTCATGTTGCATTTCATGGCACGCATTATGAATGCCGAGAATGAGGCTTGTGATGAAATTGTGTGAGACTGCGTGCCTGTCATGAGCATGTGATCACCTAAAATACCCTGATGCGTGTTACGCGGGGTTCAGATAATAATGGGTTGTGTGATCACCTAAGGGCCTTCGGGTCGTGACCTTCGGGTCGATGCCGTCCTCATGCACTTTGAAGCAGGACGATGCCCGGTACGTCCGGAAGACGACCATCCTCATGCACTTTGAAGCAGGCTCTGGTTCGTAAGGAGATCAGTGTTGTGCCTCATGCACTTTGAAGCAGGCTAGAGACACTGGGCCAGATCGGTTGCTGCGCCTCATGCACTTTGAAGCAGGCTAGACGCACCGGGCCGTGAATATTGTCGACTTGAGTCGTAATAAATAATAAATCGGGCGATTGCCAGTGTGCCAGTGTGGGCCAGTGGGCCGGAAAATGCATATGACATGCTGACGACATTTGCATGCATAAGAATGCATGGATTAGCGTGCGAGTGTGTGAGACTCGGTGCAGGAGCATGTGTTTGGCATACGTGTGACTATGTGTCGCGACCTAAAATTTCTCAGGCTAATGGATTGTTAAGACTGAGCCTAACTCGGGCCCTCCCAAGCCCTACCAATTCGCAACTTAGGGTTTAAGTTTTTTAACATGCAAAAGCTTTCATGCTTGGAGTCGCCACTAATCTATTTATGGTAGGTCGATTAGAAACCTAAATAAAACATAGGGAGATATATTTTATTCCTACGAACCAGAGATTCTAAGCCCGGGGACTTGATTACGCTAGATCTGGTCTAACGCCCTTTCGGTACCTTTTCTTTTCAAAAATGTTTGGGCAGGCAGTTTGGATCCATTTCAACTTAGTTACTAACATGTGAGGTGTTCATGCGAGTGCGCAAACCATCAATTTAACACCCAGAAAGCATTAAATAAATTGCAAGTTTTGAAGAATTACTTACCTGGAAGCAACGTAAGCATCTGCATTGTTAGCTAGAAAATCACATTGACACCCTAATATGATTTCTAATTAACAAGCAATTCACTCAATTTCTTTTTTTGGATTTTCACTTATTTAAATGAAGTCTAGCCTATATGCAATGACATGCGAAAATGACATGCGATTAATGCAACCTAGCATGCAAACTATATGTCGTGCGACGACGTGACCTATTTCTAATGACAGGACGAATAATTATTTTTGGTATTTTCTCAATTTAAATTCGGAATAATAAAAATGCCTAAATTAACATGCAAATTATGATTACTTAATCTACCCTAGCACGATTTCTTTTTAGGATTTTTGTTAAAATTCGAAATAATAAAATAACCTTAATAATCTATTAAGATTAGAATATTACTTAATTTAAACTAGGAAATAGATCATCTCAAGTCCTAATTTAAATTAAACAACTACTCTATCTTCTAGATATATTTAGGATTCCTAGACATGTGAAAACTCTAATTCAAATCTAATTAATATTTTTTGAATTTTCTGTTTATTTGAAAAAGGAAAGCAATTAAATAAACAAGGATAGCAACCACATTCAAAACGTCCACGCGATCCGCCATATTTGTTTCAAACTCGGATTAGGCACAAAAATCAAACTATCGGTCATATCTATAGGATTATAGATATCGACGGAAAGCCGATTATTCAAATTTGGAAAGCGGATTAAAATCATTATCGTACCCAAGTAGTTATGGATAGGATAATAATTTTCCGTATCGCCGCGTATCGAACCTTAGGGATAAGGTCGGATAGCCGTCCAGATACGTTGCTAAATTAGGAAGTTTTCCTAATTTTGAATATTTAAAAATATTGCGGATATTCGAATATTATCTTAAGATATCTAAATATCCACATGATATTCACGAAATATTCAAACACCCATATTAGGAAATTAAATATTTTGAAAATATCGGATAATGTTGAATTACCTAATTTGCAGATAATTCCCAAATTCGAATTGTGGATCGGGATCGGACTCGGACGACGGGCGACGCGGCATCGTGGATCACGAGGAGCTCGTCAATGTCGCGGTGAGGGTAGGAGGCAAAGCAATTCGCTGGACAGAGCACCGAAACGCTTGCAGGCTGGACTCGCCGAGGGATGCTCTTGAAGAACACGTTGGTGGCTCTCTCGGTGATGCTTGATCTCTTCGATTTGTCGATGGGTAATTGCCGAGAAGAAGGAAGGACGCCAGGTGGTCTTGAACTTGCGTTGACTTAGACCGCCTAAAAACGATAAATTGCTCCTC